ACATACTGGCACTGCCCTGTATACGGCCAACTCTGGCATACGTCATTTAGAGTCCCCTGTGACCCTGTTTCCCCCGCTCCCCCACTTGGGTGTGTCATAAACCAGATGCTCCAATTGAGCACATTCACAGGCTGGGTGTCATCAATCATGTTCTCCAATTAAATATATTCATGGGCAAAAGCTCTGGCAGTTTAGTTACACTCTTTTAAAGAGAAGAGTTGGAATGTACTTTCACTTTCCCCCCCATTTGTTATGGCAACTACTAAAACAGGCATAGGAATGTTTTATGAGTCGACACCAAGTTTGGAGGCCTCTGCTTTAGATAGTCAATTGACTTATTTTGAGTTATTGGGAAATTCACGCTCCGGCCCAAAACCTAGAAATTATCTAAATACAGATAGTCCTCCACTTACAACAGTTCGTTTAGCGACCGTTCAAAGTTAAAATGGCGCTGAAAAAAGGGACATTGGACAGGGGGCGAGAAAGAGAAGTGGGAGGGGGTAGCTGGACTCATTTACCAGATTGTTGAGCGCTCTGCTTGCCAAGTTTGAGGCAGTTACTCCAAATTAGGTAAAAGATTGCTTGTTTTTCTTTAGGTAACAACACACAAACCCTTCACCGGTGGTTCTTGACTTACCACGGTTCATTTAGCAAACAAAGTTACGGCAGCACTGGAAAAAAGGGACTTAAAGACCTTTGCAGCATCCCTGCACTCACATGCAATTCACATTCGGATGCTTAACAACTGACTCGTATAACGAACGGCTCACTTAGCAACAGACAGTGTTTGGCTCAACTGTGGTCGTAAGTCGAGGACTACCTGTTGTCAACTCATAAAATATTTCTCTGGTCTTTTCAGAGTTGCCAACAGAAAGTGGAGGGGAGCAGTTTGGAAGTCGAAAGTGCATTCCATAAATGTTTTCAAAGATAGTAACTAGGTGACTGAAGTTTCTGCCATGCAAATATCTCATTGGAGAACATGATTGATGACTCTGGGCTATGGATGTGTCCCAATGGAGAATGTGAATTACGATACAGCCGGGGGGCAGGGAAACCAGGGTCAAGGGTGACAATGAATTACGGTTCTCAGAGTTGGCTACACCCAGGCAGTGCCGGACAGTTTAACTCCCAATAAATCCTGTTGAAGTTTTGGAAGTTTGGCTCGAGACTCATGATTTAATTGGGGGTCACTGCCGGAATCCTGACCCCTGTCTTATTCTCACATACGTGGCAATTCTTCCCTACATGGATCCTCACAACAACCCTGCATGTTGGTCAGACTAAGGAGGCTGCAGAAAGTTCCCTCACAGGGCCTTGAGCCTCCTCCCTCTGCTTCCTCTCCCAGCACCACAACTAGCTGTAAGTGTGCAAGAATGAAGAGAACACACACACACACTCCCCTCGTTTCATGGGTGGCTCACCTCTCTCACTTGGCACGAACAGGTATCCTTTGTTGGGTCCGTCTGGGCTGGAGCTGAGGAGGCAGCCCGGGGGTGCCAGGCAGACTCGGCTGTGGTACGGAGGCTTGTGTGACTGGGCGAAGTACAGCTTCCTGGGGAAGAGCCAGAGCAACAGCACTTACGCTTCACGGAGTTTCACAGCCCTCTCTGAGCGGTTGACAGAGTCAGCCTCTTGCCCCCCAAGCTCATTTGACCAAACTCAGGTGGCTGGAAGGCTGAGTCAACCTTGAGCTGGCCAGGATCAAACTCCTGGCAGTCGGCAGAGTTAGCCTGCAATACTGCATTCTAACCATTGGGAGGGAGGAGGGAGGGAGGGAGGGAGGAAGGAAGGAAGGAAGGAAGGAAGGAAGAGCACTTAGACTTCATAGTGCTTCACAGCCCTCTCTAAGCGGTTTACAGAGCCAGCCTCTTGCCCCCCAACAATCTGGGTCCTCATTTTACCGACCTCGGAAGGACAGAAGGCTAAGTCAACCTTGAGCCAGTTGGTCAGGATCGAACTCATGGCAGTGAGCAGAATTAGCCTGCAGTACTGCTTTCTAACCACTGCGCCATCAGGGAAAGAAGAAACCCACTGGTGTAACATACATACATACATACATACATACATACATACATATATATAAATGTTTTCTGAGGTTCTCGAGGGTATTAGTATGTGGATCTTTGGTTATTCGGGTTTTCTCCCGCATAAGATTGGAAGTATCTAGGCAACGTTTCAATGAAGTCTCATTCATCATCTTCAGGCTTGTGTCTTCAGCTCTGTGCTTCTCGAAACGTTGCCTAGATACTTCCAATCTTACGCGGGAGAAAACCCGAATAACCAAAGATAGATAGATAGATAGATAGATAGATAGATAGATAGATAGATAGATAGATCTCCCCCTCTCTCCCTCCCTCCCTTTCTCTCTCTCTCTCTCTCTTTCACACACACACACAGAGCTACCCTCAATCGTGTTCTCTCCAAAATTTGAAGAAGGAAAAAAAAAGAAACCTTCCCTCCTAAAATGCAGAACAGCCCCCCAACTCCGTCTCCCTACTCTGCCCAATGATTAATTGCCAAGAACCTTCTGACGACCCGCCTGAGCTCTGTGCCCGGCCGCCTCTGCTCAGTATTACCGTGTGTGCTGTTGCTCCTGGGTGGCCACATAGAAGCTGAAGTCGGATTTCCACCCTCTCTTCGTGTCGCATGATAAGCTGGTCATCATCCACTTCTTGCTGGCCCCTGGCTGGACATGCCCTACTGTGGACATACAAGCGGTCAGCCTCTTGGTGAAGTTACCGTAAGGAACTTTATACACCTAAGCATGGATTAATGAAAACACAACACTTCACTATAGGTCTCTAGAGGCTGGCGGGAAGGGCGAAGGGGGCTAGCAGGGCACAAAAGACAAACTTAAGGGTGGCATGCCCCTCTCTGTTCAGCTCTGCCATGTGGCACAGGGGGTGAGCACGGAACAGGCTGTTGGCATCTGCCGCTCGACCGGCAGCTCAAAGAGCAGCTAGGAAAGACAAGTCCCACTGCCCGCAACCATCATGGAAGGATGAGTAGCCCTGCAATCCAACAGTCATCTAGACCAGGGGTCTAGAGTGACCCAACTCCCGGGTCACGGCCTATTTCCAACCAGGCTATGTGAGCAGCAGACTGGCGCAGCTGCGCACGGGTGGGCAGCTTAACATGCCCGCTCCTCACACAAGTTGAACTCTGTGTGTGTGTGTGTGTGCCAGCCTGTTAGTCGTACAGGTGAGTTCCCCTCCCCCCATGCTGCCAAGCCACAAAGGTTGGGGACCGCTGATCTAGACTCCGTGGAGACTTATCTCGTCGAAGTATCTCAAAAGATGGTGTTCTAGGCGATGCCACCTATGCAAAGGCTGCATGATGCGCTACTGAAGGGAGCTTAGCTGCCCGGTTGCCCCTCTGGGCTGATTTAGGAGTCACCTCTTCACCTGTCGGTGCTTACCTGGAAGGAGGGCACTTCTCCACCTTTTGCGGGCACGGTCTGCCATGGAGACGGCACGGTGGAGTTGAGAGAAAACCTGTAGGTCACCGGCCAGCTGTTGCCCTTGGATCTGAAGATGTAGACTGTTCCCTGGGGGTCTGGAGGAGACAGGACAGTCATCAGAGCGCCTGTTGTGGCGCGTCGGCCACTGGGCCCTCCAGCAACCGAATCAGATGAGGAGGCGGTGTGGGGTCCAGGGCCAGCATTAAGGCAACCTTGGAGCTCCGAGGGGGGAAGAGGGAACGGAACTGGCAGAGAGAGAGAGAGAGAGACAGAGGCGGAGCCTGGGCCATCCGTCAGCCCTCAGATGGAGAGTCAGCAACCCCCAGGTCTGGAGGTGGCTGACAAGGAATAAGAGGAACAGCTGGGTCCAGTGCCTGAAGCACGGATGTGCAGAAGGCAGAGGAGAGGAGAGCAGTGGAAATCTATGGGCCGGTCCTTGGGACAGAAGAGCCGAGAGAGAGAGAGAGAGAGAGAGATTCTTTGTCAGGGATGCTGGTGCTCCTAATAAAGGAATAATTGATTTAACTACAGAGGGGTTTGTCATTTTTGGAGGCCAGGTCAGAACATCGCCCCTCCTGCGTCAGACCCAAAGGGAAAAAGCTAATCGGATTGGGCAGCACCTGGATTCAGGGGTGAGTCCGAACACAGGCTGTGCCAACATCCAAGGTGGGTATTGAACTGGTGATATCGGATCCCATCCGATTCGGATACCCTGCGCTGGCTCTGTGCCTGCGTGGAAATGGCCTTTTTTCAGACCAGTTTCCAAAATCGGAATCAAATCAACCCAACTCACTCATTTAATCCAACGAACATGGTTTGCTGGTTTTCGGGTCGAATTTTCCCCGATCGAATCAATGATTCCAGTTAGATTCCTCGAGGCCTAACAGGGTAGCCAGCCATGGAGAGAAAGCCATAAGAAAAGATCTTGAGGGGAAGATGACACTCACCCTGCAGAGTTTTGTCATCTAGGGGGCTCCCTCGGCCGCTTCCTGGCGGGCCCGACCTCTTCTTCTTTTTCTCCAGAGAAGTGTGGATGTTATTCTGCAGATTACGGGGTTTTTCCTGAAACAAGCCTGTCGCACAAGGTTAGTCAGGGACAAAAGAGCATCTCCCATCAAAGGGGGCAGCACCGGGAAGGGGGCATGTTCACACGGAGGACTTCTTCATTCAAGGGACAGCCATATTTGCCACCCGAAGAGCCCCTTAGTGTGCAGGGCCTCAAAAGAGCAAGGACGAGTGATTTGAGAGGTGGAAATTCCCGAAGGATGAGTCTAACCAACGAGAATGGACCCCGAAAAGTTAAAAAAACATTGCTTTTAGTTGGTCAAAAAGAGGGCTGGGAAAATATCTACAGACCCCTCACATACTGGATGTAAATCGTTTCAACTTCTGCCCTCAAAACCAGCAGTCGCCAACCAATGGGCCACTGGTGGGACGTGAGAAAATGTTGGTGGGCTGCAGAGAAATCTCACCCCCAGAGCACCCCACAATCCAGGCGGCGCAGAAACACAAGGCTGTGCCGCCCACGTCGCCCGCGGGAACGCTCCCCGCCCACTCACTCCTTACCTGGCAAACTTGCCTGCTAAATTGCTATTTTTCCTTTTTCCGACCATCCTCTGTTCTGCTGTGCCGGGAGATTTAGATTAGGTAGGAAGCAGGAAACGGCTTCCTACCTAATGGATTTCTTGCTTTCTAGCTAGTCTTTAGATCTTCGGCTCTGCTTTTCAGCACAGCCGAACCTCCCTTAGGACTGAAGGTTCTATTATTCAGTGCAGATTCACAGCAAGCAAATTTTATGTGACGGACTCAGATAGCCGATAGATCACTGAATGATTCTGTGAGCAGCTTAATCTGCCTGCCTGCTTTGCCTGATTTGGGGTAAAAGTTGCTCTTTTTTTAATAAAAAAATTCAATATTTACATACATGGCGTGTCGTGAGTTAATTTTGTGAGTTTGCTTGCAAGCAAATTTTATGTGACAGACTGAGCTAGCCGATGGCAGATACATAGATCCTTGAGTCTGACACCCCTGTTCTAAAGCAAGGCTGTCTTAACCTTGGCAACTTTTAAGACCTGCGGACTTCAATTCCCAGCAAAATGCTGGCTGGGGAATTCTGGGAGTTGAAGCCCACAAGTCTTAAAGTTTGCCAAGATTGGACACCCCCGTTTCTAAGGGGAAAGGAAAGGTTCTGTCTTAGATCCGCCCTGGGTGAGAGGATTCCTCCTGCCTTCCAACGTCCCCAGAGATCCAGCTGAGACATCTTGAAGAAACACGGATCCACCTGAACACAACGTGGAAGCCACTGACACACCCATGCCTTTTCCTGCCCCTGGTAAACTCCTGGGCTCCGTCGAACTCACCTGAGCAGGTGACACAAGAGATGCCCTCAGCACTCAAGTTGTACTTGAGGTCCATCAACACCTGGATGTTGGTATCGGGCCTGAAGAGGAGTGGGGCACGGCTAGCTGGGCGAAGGCGGCTGGCGAAGAAGATGGAAAGGATAAGAACCAAGACAAAGAGCCCTGGAACGAGAAACACGGGGCAACCTGTGTGAATTGATACTCAGTGTGATGACCCAGGGCGTGACACAAAAATAAGAAAGTCACAAAATCAGGTAAATTCCCTTTAATGCCTCCAACTTGGCCCCCCAATGTCCAATTATCCTCGGCTGGAGAGCAAACTCTTCCAAAAAATAGGCTACGAAGGGCAGAAATGCAGCCCGAACCCAAAGTAGAGATAAATCAGAAATAAAAAAAAACCAACACAAACCATGCTGAAGTAATTAACGTGACAGGCCAGGATGATAAATGGCAGACTTCCAAAAGATAACGCAGCACCCACAGATGGGAGGACGCCAAAACCCCAATAAGCCTCGGCCAAGATAATGCAGGCTTTGCTTCCAGCAAGGTGCTGTGTGCAAACGGCCTTCTTGTATCCTGTTCTCCCAGCTGCAACTCATGAAAGGGATCAGGGCCCTTTTCTCTCCTGTAAGCCATGTTGCTCCCTTCTCCATTCCTCCCTGCCCTAGGATGAAACGGGGGTGGCCCTGGGGCTTCCTCTGAATGCCCAGCCGGACTGTGGCCTTCCTCCATTTCTTCCACAGTCACTGGAGCCACATTCCCACTCCCTGTCAGCTGCTCAATCTCCCCGTCAGAATCCGGGCATGACACTCAGGCTGTTCTTGTGCCAGGCCTTCCTAAGCTTCTTTTTAAATCAAGGAAGGGCCAATAGGTGTGCGGGTGACTTACCAACAATCACCCACTTGTTTTTGACTGCCGACCACAGCGCCCAGCACTGGAGGAGCTTCTGCAGGTGAGTGATCAGGTGTCCTGGGCTGTCGTTGTTGGTAGTGAGATGGTGGTTTTCAGGCAACACAGATAGCAGGGGGACATCCCCCATTTCTAGAGCGACTGGCCAGAAAAGAGAAGGGAAGGTTGCGTTGAAGTGCATGACACAAACGCTTGCCACAGACCACATTAAAGCTCTCTAGATACCGAACGAAGCAAAGCAGTCCAATTGAGAAATCACCAATATTTATTCCAAAGGATACTTAAGTCACTACTATATGGGTTCATCGGAGCCAACAATGGCCTGAATTCTATTTTTCATAGAAGGGGTGAACCTAGAAGAATTGCTCTGATCTCAAACCCATCTAGATGCTCTTCAAGATCCTGAAAATCCCAACCTGATCCAGACCAATTGCACCACTTCAGCCAAGACCAAAAATCTATCTAGCCTTACTTTGCAAAAGACTCAGGTCTCAGACCTCAGAAGAGCAAAATAATTCTACCATCTTATTCTGGGCAAAGAGATGATTGGGGAGCGCGGGGCATTCAACAATAACTTAATTATTGCACAAGTTATTACACAATAACTTAATTAACCATCGTTTAAACATGAGCCAGCAGCGTGTGGTGGCAGCCAAAAAAAAAAAGCTAACGCAATCCTTGGTTGTACAGAGGCATGGAATCAAAATCCCGCGAAATATTAGCATCGCTTTAGAAATCCTTAGTAAGGCCGCCCCCGGAATACTGCCTCCAATTTTGATCACCATAAGCACAAAAAAGACGTCGAGACTTTGGGGAAAGTGCAAAGAAAAGCAACTAAGGTGATTAAGGGGCTGGAGACTGAAATATATGAAGAACAATTGCAGGAATTGGGTATGGCTAGTCTTTTTTAAGAAAAGACTGGACAGCTACCTGCCTGAAATGATCTAGGGTCACCTGCTTGAGGAGGGGGCTGGACTAGAAGACCTCCAATGTCCCTTCCAGTTCTACTCTGATTGACTGAACTGAGACACCTCTAGGAAGGAGACACAGATATCTGGCTTGGCTTGGGAACCAAGTGGGTACTTGAAGTGTGCGGGCAGCAATATTTGCAGCCCGTTTATCCATCACTTACCTGGCTCCTCCTCCACATTCAGCAGGGGGATGTCATCATCCAGGTAAGGCAGGGTGCCCAGGCCTGACCTGCCAGCCACTGCCAAGGAGACAAACAGGCCGTCCGAGCTTTGCAAAGCACTTTCCTTTGTGCATTTTTTACTGCACCTGCAGACCAGGGAGAAAGCAACACCAAATGAACCTGGACGGCGCTCTCTGTCCAGGTGAGACAGCTGCGCCCAGCTTTGTTGGCGGAGCGGAGCGGGCAGACCAGCCGAGCCGCGAAACAGCCACATACCAGGCAAGGATCAAGCATTTTCTACTTGAATTTTTTTACATACTTTCGAACCGCCAGGTTGGCAGAAGCTGGGACAAGGAACGGGAGCTCACTCCGTTACGCGGCAATGTTAGGGATTCGAACAGCCAAATGGCCGATCTTTCTGATCGACAAGCTCGGCGTCTTGGCCCCTGAGCCACATACAGTTTTGGGTAATGGAGAAAAATTGGGAAGCACTGGCTGGTTTTAACCTGGGCTGCTTTTCCTGCACTTTTCTCCTGGTTTTATATTCATCTTGAAGGAAGAATAGGCGACCAGCGCCTTCTAAAAGAGAACAGCATCTGAGTGAATTCTTTTGGGTGGACCCTGGTAATCTAGCTAAACCAATTCCTTTGGCTCGAGAGGCGCAGCTGCTACTGCAGCCCTGCTTCGCAAAGCGGGCTTATTTTTTTCTTTAATTTAAAAGAGATTCGATTGAATCTTACCTGGCCTGGCAGGTGTTTTCCAGCGAGGACCAGTAGAGAGACCAAATCCCCAGGGCAGCGGGCATGGTGAAGAGGACTCCAACCCAACAGCAGGAGACAATCAAGGACATGAAGAGACCAAAGTCGTGGACAGCTGGGATCTAGGAAAGAGACAGTCGGGAAGGGAAGAGGCGAATAATCACCTCCAGGAGGTCAAAGAAAGCCCCGCTTTAAGAGGTAAGTCTAGAATTGTTCTAATTGCTACGAAGAAGCTTTGGAAGCCTTTTAGAATGACTTTCAGCTGGGTGGACTTCAGCTCCCAGAATTCCCCAACCAGCCATGATGGCTGGGGAATTCTGGGAGTTGAAGTCCACCCATCTTAAAGTAGCCAAGTTTGGGAAGCATTGCTTCAAGAGAAAGAGGTACATCTGGAATTGTTCTTCTGATTGCTCACCTGGGAAAAGATGTTGGCGGCATATGCCGCGGCCGTGGTTAAGGAGGTGAAGAAGGTGGCCTTGCCAGCCGTCTGGATGGTGTAGATCATCCGAAGGTTGAGGTCCTTCAGGTGGGTGGCCTGCCGATAGGTGTTGATGAAGACAAAAACGTCGTCCACCCCTGGGAAACGGCACAGAGAAGGACACCGTTAGGAGGCCAGGTTTTGTGGGGATGGAGAACGGCTCCTGACCCGGTTGGATCGTCTCGTACCGATGCCCACGATGACAAAGGCCGCCACGCCATTCAAGATTCCCAGGTACTGGATTCCGAAGACAATGTGGTACAGGAAAAGGGCCACCAGGCAGCTGATCCCAATGCTAGCGATGCCAAAAAACGACAGGAAGACTGGAGGAGGAGGAGGAAAAGGGAGGAAGAAAGAACAGAACAGATCATCAGAGTTGGAAGGGACCTTGTAGGTCATCTAGTCCAACCTCCTGCCCAAGCGGGAGATCCTGCACCATTTCTGACAGATGGGAGTCCAATCTTTTATCGAAAGCTTCAGGGGTGAAGCTCCCACAACTTCCGATGGCAACTTCTGTTCCACGGGTTGATTGTTCTCACTTGTTCAGAAAATGTCTCCTTATTTCCAGGTTGAATCTCTCCTTGTTCAGTTTCCATCCATCCCACTTAAATCTTGGAAGGCTGCTATCCTGTCTCCCCTGGTCCTTCTCTTCCCTAGACTAGTCAGGACCAGTTCCTGCAACCATGTTTTAGCCTCCAGTCCCCTAATCATCCTGGTTGTTCTTCTCTGCACTCTTTCTAGAGCCTCTTCTTTATAGTGTGGTGACCGAAACTGGAGCGGTACGCTAGGTGTGATCTTACTAAGGCCTTATAAAGTGGTCCCAGGTGCGGGGGTGGTTGGTGTCCCAGGAGCTGTTCCAGGAGTGTCCCAGGAGAGGCTGTTCCTCTTACCTGAACACGATGCCAGCAGGTAGACCAACACCGCAATGCAGGAGCTGCTGATGAAGGCCAGCAACATGTCGTTCTTGAAAATCTTCCTCACTTCGTAATCAAACAGATCCGTCCCGCCATACAGAACCTCCACTTTGCTGCAGAAAAAAAAAAAGCACGGGAGGTTGGCCCGACACGTTTAACTCGGTTAAACTTGAAATATAGGCAGTCCCCGGACTTACAGTGGTTCGTTTAGTGACTGTTCAAAGTTGCAACAGGACTGATGACCCCTTTTTCACACTTAGTGACTGTTCGAAGTTGCAACAGGACTGATGACCCCCCTTTTTCACACTTACGACTGTTGCGGCGTCTGCCACGGGTCACGTGATTTACATTCGGGGGTTCGGCAAACCGACTTATGACCGTAGCCGTGTCCCGCGGTCCCCCTTTGCGACCTTTTGACAAACAGAATCCATCGGGAAGCCAGATTGGCTTAACAGCCGCGCTAAACTGATTTAACAATGAAAGGGATTCACTTAACAAACGTGGCGAGAAAAGTCGTCCAACGGGACGAAACTTGCTTAACAAATTTCTCACTTGGCGACCTACGTTGTGGGCTCAATTGCGGTAGTAAGTCGAGAAGTTACCTGTCATTCTTTTACTAGGTTGCATAACAGGCTGAAGGCTCAGTAGCCAAACCCTGATTTGTGTGATGACCCAGGGTGGGATACAAAAGCAACAGAGTCACACAAACAGGTGGAAATCGCTTTAATTCCTTCAACTTGGCTTCAAAGATCCAATTATCATTGACTGGAGGAAAAAAAACTCCCCCACAAACAGTTGTGAAAAGGAAGAAATTCCGTTCAAACTCAAAATACATATAAGTTATAAATAGAAAAAAAAACAAAACACAAGCCACACTGAAGCGATTAATGAGACAAGGCAGGAAAAGGGCTTGAAGACGTCCACAGATATCAAAATACACACACGGGGAAGGACGCCAGAACTCAGATAAAAACTGAGAGACTAGAGTTATTTCACGCTTTGCTTCCAGCACTGGGCCATGCACAGTTTGTCCTTTTTATCAGTCCTCACAGCTGCAGCCCATGAAGGGGATCAGGGCCCTTTCCTCCCCCGTAGACCATGCCATTCACGTTGCTCCCTTATCCGTTCTTCCCTGCGTGGCCTAGGATGAAGAGGGGATGGGCCTGGGTCTTCCTCTGAATGCCCAGCCGGTCTGTGCCCTTCCCCAGTTTCTTCCACAACCTCTGGAGCCACCTCCCCTACTCCCTCTCGGCTGTTCCTCCTCTCCCTCGGAGTCAGATTCTAACAGGGGCGTGACATCTCCCCCTAAAAATATGGGCTGAAACCCCGGGGTTTCAGGGTGGGTGGGGTTTACAAACTAGAGGCCCCTGAATTTGCAGGAGAAGCTGTGATTTCTGTAATAAATAAAGCCCGGGGGGAGGGGGGCTTGAAACCCCGGCGTGCGAAATAAAGGGCAACAGACTAAGCCACAGCTCACTGCTCCCAAACCACAGGAGTTAAATCCTTCCCGAAAAAGCAAAGGACTGTATGGCAACGGCACACGGTGCATGTCTTCCCCCTTCCCCAACCTGCCACGTAAGCCCTTGGCCGCCGTTCTCCGGGGAATCCTAAACTCCCGATTATTTGAAAGAAGAAAAGAAACGAGGGATAATCGCTCGGTATGTTTAGGAAACGCAGCAGGCCATGTCCAAAGCCGCGTGAAATAGCCCAGCTCCTTAGGAGGGGGAAGAGGGAGGGTCTCAGAAAGTTAATTAAATGAGGGAAGCAATTAAGCCCTCGCAGCAGGGGAGGTGGGCTGAGGAGGGGGTGTTCCTGCGAGGTCTCTGTCTCTCTCTCTTTCTCTCTCTCTCTGCCCTCCCCTCTGCTTCCATCGCTCCTTTGAGAGGCTCACTGAGTGAGAGAGAGAGAGGGAGAGGAAGAGGGAGCGAGGGAGGAGGAAAAGAGAGAGGGAGGGAGAGGGTGAGAGGGAGAGGGAGGGGAAAGGGAGAGGAAGGGTGGGAGAGAGGGAGGGGGGAAAGGGAGAGGGAGGGAGAGGGAGGAGAGGGGGGGAAGAAGAGGGAGGGAGAGGGAGAGAGGGGGAACAGAGAGGGAGAGCAAGAGGGAGCGAGAGAGGGGGAAAAGAGAGAGGGAGGGAGAGGAGAGAGGGAGGGGAAAGGGAGAGGAAGGGAGAGAGAGGGATCGAGAGAGGGGGAGGGGGGAAGGAAAGAGAGGGAGGGAGAGGGAGTAGGAAAGAGGGGAAAGGGAGAGGGAGCGAGAGGGAGGGAGCCACCGACCTCAGCTCCCAAAGGCCGGAAACCCCACCTGGTCCTGAGAGGCTAACTTTCTACAGGAGAAGAGCCACAAAATGTCTCATCCATCCCCGCAGAGGGGAAGGATCCACTTCGACCCTTTGGACTGGAAACCCAGACTGGGACACGGAGCAGGGCAGCGGCTCTGTTGCTCACCTGGTGGACTCCTTGGCCAGTAAGGCCACGTAGGTGACCACAAAGTTTTGGAACTTCCGGCATTGTTCTTCCCAGCGGTCATCCATGGAATAGTAGCTGGGCAGGGGAGCGCCGAAGAGGACTTCACTCCGCAAGAGAGAGCTCTTCCTGTTCTCGGCCGAGAGACCCTCATCCACGTACCAGTAGAACTCTGGGTGGGTCATGGCCAACTCGAGAGACCCTGCGGGAAGCAACCGCGGAACAGAACGACAAGAGTTGGAAGGGACCTTGGAGGTCATCTAGTTCAGGAGTCGCCAACCTTTTGGACCTCAGGGACCGCCAAACTCATAATTTTAAATCCCACGGACCACTCATATGAATTTGGACTGACGCTGGCTTGCTGATGTTTTCCCAGGGTCTCTGCAGAAAGCAGCAGAGACCCTGGGAAACCCCCCCCCCCCAAAAAGTCTGCAGGGAAAATTCCCCACCCCGTTTTCCTACTGATCAATCGTTCTTTATTTGGGATCGCAGGATACCGTCTCCAGTTCCGTTCTCAGGGGGAGAGAAAAGAGAGAGAGAGAGAGACTTTTGGCTTCATGCAAGGAAAGCAGCAGAAGCTGCAGAAGTCTTTCTTTTTCTCCCCCAAATGCTGCCAGAAATGAGTCTTTGCCGGCACAACTTCTTGGAGCAGGAGGCCTTGCAGGGTCCCCAAGGGTCATTTGGGGGCAATAGGCTGACATTGTAAACCATTCAGATAGTGCTGTAAAGCACTTTGAAGTGGTATATAAGTCTAAGTGCCGTTGCTATTTTCCTTCCTTCCTTCCTTCCTTCCTCCCTCCCTCCCTCCCTCCCTTCCTGTTAGAATGCAGTATTGCAGACTAACTCTGCCAACTGCCAGGAGTTCGATCCTGACCGGCTCAAGGTTGACTCAGCCTTCTACCTTTCCGAAGTCGGTAAAATGAGAACCCAGATTGTTGGGGCAACAGGCGGACATTGTAAACCATTCAGACAGCGCGGTAAAGCACCGTGAAGCCTAAGCGCTATAGCTACTCCTTGTCCTAGTCCGTCCACCCAACCGTCAGGGCTCACCTTGGATGTCGGCAAGCTCTTGCCCGAGCCCGTCGTAGTATATTTTTCCACCCCTCTCGGTGGGGAAGAAATAGGTCATGAGGGAGCTAGGAGGGGAACAGTAGGAGTAGGACCCCAAAGGGAGGTCTTTGAGGACCTCATGAGGCTTCCAGCAAAACTCTTGGAAGTGAGGATGGTCCATAATTTTCCGCTCCACCTCGTGGATCGTCAGCAGGCGCTCGGACGTGAAGATGTTCTTCTCGGCATCTCCCCGAGCGAGGAAGATGAGCTCGATGCGCCAGTGGGCGTGAGTCTGGGTGTTGGCGCTCACCGTGGCGCTCGGATACTCCCACCGAGGGAGGGGACTTCGGGGCTGGTGGGAGGAGCTGTGGTTGGATGGGCCGGCCTGATTCCGGCCCGCGTCCCTTCGCCGCCTCCGGGAGAGGTTTGGGGCGTCCGGCCGCGAGGTGTTGCGCTGGAGGTGCTGCAGTTTCTCAAAAATCAGCCTCCGCAAGGTCTCCGAGCTGAAGTCGGCCAGGTCACGGCGGCTGCGTCCCCACAGGCCGAACTGGGACTTGAGGGCCAGGGTGAGGGCGTCGAAGCGCTGCGAGGACTCGTGGTTGCGGATCTCAAAGGCGTTGTATGAGATGTCGATGTCCAGAGCAGGGTAGTGGAGGAACATGGTCAGGGCCAAGCCGGCCGGAATGGCGCATCCCAAGAAGAGGACGAGGCTGGCAGAATAAGGGTTGGTGAAAACCCAGCCCACCACAGCCCAAAAATCCGAGGAGGGGAGCGTCACAAAAGCGGCCCGGTGCCTGGGGTTCCACTGGCATTTCCCGCAGAGGCGGGACCCCCCAGTTTTCATGCCAGGGCCACCAGCCCCTTCCTCGTCTTCATTGGCACACGCATCTTGCAATAAAGCGTCGTCCTCCATGTCCATTCCTGGAAAGAAAAGAAGGGAATCAAGAAATCCGAACAGAATTTAGGAGGCAAATGGCCAGGCTGATAACTTCACACAAAGGAACCACTAAGAAACGGATTGGCCTTCCTGACACCAGCCAGGAATCACAAAATGGAGGGGTCCTTGGTGCTCTTGGAGGTTGGCTGTTTTCTGGCAGGCATTTCATTATCCAACTAGGTAACGTCATCAGTGCTAGTACTAAAGAGGGAGGACGGAAGGGAGGAATAAAAGAAGGAAGGAAGATAGAAGAACAGAGACAAAGAGAGTCAGGGAGGGAGGGAAGGAAAGAAAAAGAAAGAAAGAAAAAAATGAGGAAAGGAGGAAGGAAGGCAGGAAGACAAAGGCAGAGGAACAGAGACAAAGAGAGTCAGGGAGGGAGGAGAAAAAGAAGGGAGGGAAGGAAAGAAAAAGAAAGAAAGAAAAAAATGAGGAAAGGAGGAAGGAAGGCAGGTAGGAAAGAAGGCAGGCAAACAGGCACACAAGCTAGATTTTTATTATTTATCTTTCTTTAGATGTTCTAATGTTGGAGAAGGAGAAAGAAAAGAAAGCAAGGAAAAAGAAAGAAAGAAAGAGAGAGAGAGAAAGAAAGAAAGAAAGAAAGAAAGAAAGAAAGAAAGAAAGAAAGAAAGAAAGAAAGAAAGAAAGAGGAAGGAAGGAAGGAAGGAAGGAAGGAAGGAAGGAAGGAAGGAAGGAAGGAAGGAAGGACCTCAATCCATCTTCGTTGAGCGTCCTTCCTGCCTCTTCCGCTACTTGAACAAAGAGGTTGGACTATAAGACCCCCAAAGTCCCTTCCAACTCGGATATTCCTTGTTCTAAACTGACTCATCTAAAGGCATCTTTGAGTGGATCCCGTCTGGCCACGTTTTCCCAAAATGCAAGGTTTCTTTTCATTTCTGGCACAAGACGTAACCCTGAGAACTTCTGCTTCGTACTATTCGTTCATTCCAGATTTTTTTTAATGTGAGACGCTCCTCGTATTTCGTAGGCCTGCCTGCCTCCCTCGTTCAATAGACTAACGTACAGGTTTTATATTGATATCTCCTATGGTGGGCCAACTGAATCCATCAAAAAGATTCTGCCTCCTGAATCACCTCATTAAGAGCCTTTTTTTTTTCCTGAAGGGGGAAAAATAATCATCAATCGAGAGAAAATGGAGACAAGAGAGACGTGCCAAGAGCGACATGTTGTGTATAAATATAACCCTTTCTTACAATCATCCAACGTTTTCTTCTTTATTAAAAGCTTTCAAGATCTTTCCTGGCAAACCTCCCAGGATTAAAAGAGGCTTCACATCTGAAGTTGATGATGTTTCTAAGACGCCAAAAAGCATCCAGAAGGAGGGGTTTTTCCCAACACGGACATCGCGCAAGGCAGAGAGAACAAACGGTGTATTTTCAGCCTTTCCACGGGGTGGGCTGGGGGGGAAATCTCTCGTTTGGCCCCCGCAGGATTCTAACTTTTGCATCGTTTCGCGGCCGGCCTCCAGGGATCAAAAACTAACAGACCCCAAAGTTGGGAGCCGCCGAGAACGACAACAAATCGAATTTTCTTTTGCATATCTGGGGTATTGGCTAGTCTAGAGAAAAAAAGGGCGACTAGGAATGACATGATAGCAGCGTGTTCCAATATTTGATGGGCTGCTACAAAGAAGAGGGGGGAGTCAATTTAATTCCCAAAACATCACAAGACAAGAAACAATGGGTGGAAATTAATCAAGGAGAATCAACCTGTCTCCGGCTTTTGAGCAGGGGCGGTTAGACTAGACTTCCAAAGTCCCTGCCAGCTCTATTCCAATTGATTAATACATCAAAAAAGAGTAAATTTCATCGTTAAAGTGGAATCTCTTCTCCTGGCCTTAATTCCACCAGATATATACCCTTAAACACACTTTCCATTAGCCTCACAGCTGGCGGCCGGGGATGATGGGAGTTAATGCCCAATCCTCTCTGGAAGACCCACAAATATCTATCTATCTATCTATCTATCTATCTATCTATCTATCTATCTATCTATCTATCTATCTAACATCTATCTATCTATCTATCTATCTATCTATCTATCTATCTATCTATCTATCTATCAATCATCTACCTATCTACTTACTTATTTATTTGAATTATATTGCCACTTATTCATCCATGGCGATTCAAGGCAGCTTACACAATGTAAAATCATATTTAAAACAAAAAATAAAAATAAAAACAATAAGAACTAACAAAAAGAATCAAATAAATCAGTCAAGAACAAAATCTGGGAAAACAAAAAGCAAAAATATGATGTTCTTTTGTTTGCCTTCTCAGAAATAAACTCAATTCCACAGGACGCACGCATCATGCCCAGGAAAAGAGAAAGAGAAAAATTACAGCTGAAATATTTCAGATCTTAACCATTCATGACGGCATGCTCTGGTATGAACCCTTGAAATCAAGCTCCCTGGATTTAGCTATATCTACGCATGTTTTTGTGTGCCTTATGTGTCTCCAACTTAACCGAATAACAGAGATGGAAGGTACCTTAAAGGTCTTCCAGTCCAACCTCCAGCTCCCAGAGACCCTACACCCGTGATGGAGAACCTATGGCACGCAGAGCCATTTGTGTGGGCACACAAGCCCCAAGCAAGCCTATCTCAGTGTGCATGCGTGCACCTCCCAGCTGATTTTTGGGCCTTTTTCGGCCTGCCAGAGGCTTGAGGGATGTCTCTGCAGGCTTTGCAGGATGAAAAATAGGCCCGTTTCATCACTTCCTGTATTTCCAGAAATACCAGAAGTGACTAAAGGGGCCCATTTTTCGGCCTGCAAAGCCTGCAGAGGCATCCCTCAAGCCTCTGGCAGGCCAAAAAAGGCCTCAAACAGGCCGAAAATCAGCAAAGAGGCGCAGTGCAGATAAGGGTGGGGGAATCGCGCACATTGCACATATAGGGGGGCTGCGAGCATTGCCTTCTGGGTGCTGGCACACGAGAGCGCATTGCACAATTTTTGGCACAGAAGCCCCAAAAGGTTAGCCACCAGTGCCCTATACCATTTCAGGCAAGTAGCTGTCCAGTCTCTTTTTAAAAGCCTCCAGTGAGAGAGCATTTGTTCTCCGCTTGAAATTCAGCTAGCGTTCGGTCATTTTTACGTGCTTTCTTTTGGGGCACAGGGGAAACGTTTGCTGGAAACAAGAGAGAGAGAGAGAGAAGGGACAGGGGGAAAAAAATATTCAGGAGACCTGCCAGGTCCCCTCCTTGAAAAGAGGAACTGTTTCTGTTTGCGTCACCCGTCGTAAATTGCCAGCAAAGGCTGGAAAGGTTTCATCAAGCATGCCCGATAGACTGCAAAGCCATAAATATCTGGGGTTTCCCAAAATACTACTGATAAGAATGAGGCGAAAGAAAAATTAGCTTTCTTTCTGCGTTCCAGAGCTCACTCGTTTTCCAGGGGTGCATAAGAGGCTGGTGCAAAACACACAAAAGTGGCGCAAAGCACAACCAACGCCAACCCTTCTCTAAATTATAAAGTCAGCTGCTCGTCCGACTGGGCAAAATCAGCCTGGAGATTTCACCGCCAAGAGCCTCCACCCCACCCCTTCCCAGCACGCGGTTCCCTTCCACCTCAAATCTCGTTTCCACCCTTGCGCTGGCAACCCTTCTCCCTCGCATCCGAAGCTGCAGGTGAGCCAGCTGGCCTCTTCCCTCCCAGGCTCTCAAACTGCAGGCTGGCTGGAGACAGCCTTGAATGGGTTGAGGAAGGAGGAGGAGGAGAAGAGGAGGGGGAGGAGGAGGAGGAGGAGAAGAAGAGGAGGAGGAGGAGGAGGAG